TCAGGTATCTAATAAGCATAGTTCTTGGCTTTTCTTTTAAGACTGGTAATCGTTATGAAAGATTTTTTGACTTGGCGTAGACAATGAGGATGGCAAAACCGCCATTTTCTTCAGCCTTATTGATCCACTTGAAGTCGACAAAATCTTACCCATTTTTTGATAAACTCATTTCAAATTTACAGATTTAAAAGAAGTTGCTTCCTAGATTCTTTTCACTTGAAAATCCATTCAAACCGATATTTTTTCATTAGATTCTCTCTGGATGATGGTAAGTAGAAGTCTTTGTGACCGCGAACTACGAGTCATGTAGTTTACACTGTGGAGAAGTGTTTAAGCTACGCAGAAGGCTTTTTAATCTATAACTTGCTTGATTTAAACGACCTTCCCACATGATGTCTAATAGGCCATATAGTTCTTATCTAGRAGATGACATTTCCATGCGACATAAACTTTTACCTCGGAAGTTAGAAGACAAAATGCAACACTATTTGAATTTCCTTTCTTGAGGGCGAGTAGGATAATGGCTTCTTAATTTCGGATTTTCTGAGTCGATCGTTTTCAAGTTTTCAAGGCAGCTTCTCAGTTGACCAACGACGGTACTCAATGCCTAATTTAAGTCAAAATCTCCTCTTTGATGCGAAAATTTTAACCCGAATCACTGATTCTTAACGACTATTTTGAAATAGACAGACATCGGCAGACATGTTTTTTAGATTGTTTGACGAGTAAACTAATTCAGCCAATCAGAGCGCTAGAACTTAGGCTCCTGATATTCGCCACAGACCGGAGTATATCTCACATAAATTTAACTATTAAAGCAATATTGCGGGGATCTCCTCTTGCATACTTTGGTTTATGATTAAACTTTGAATGACATTCTTGCAGAAGACTTCCTTTGATCCCTCCAATATTGGTGACTCTGGCAAGGCTTCAATAGTAGTCCCACCAATAATATTGGTGCAGTTTTCCATTTTGCACCTGACTGGCAAACGCCATACTGAATTTGGATCCCAAAACCAAGAGAGTTCACAGAAACGATCACACACAGTTCACGTTTTATTGTCCACCCTCTTTCTCTATTCAACCAATGTTCTTTTTCACGCCAGTGGGCAGTCATTTTATAACACATCTCTGGATTTGATACCCAGTGCTTCACTTTCCCTTGTAGTCCAAGGTAATAATACTTCAATGTACCTTGTTTGCCACAGTGTTGGCAGGTATCAGTTTCTTTTTCCATAATATCCCAGTGACGTTTGTGGGAATCATCAAGGMAAATGAAATACTCCTTTGCATCCTGATAACCCAATTTTACAAGATACTTTTTGGCAGATTCCCAGTCGTTTGGCCAGATTTCTTTAATTACTTGGTCATCATCTTCAAGTCCTCTACCTCTACAAAATATGTGACGTGCAAATACGAGCAGATCATGAAGTGTGTTTAATGATGCTCCTGTCTCCTTTATGAGATCCAGTTTTTCAAAGATAGATTTCACAATTGCAACATCCATTCTATTCAGCTCAAGGTTATTCTCCTCTTCTGTTATCATATTCTCTTGTTGTGGCTGATTTTCTTCACGACTGCTATCCAAGAAATGATTTGAATCGTCATGGTTACTC